TTAATTTCGTAAAAATAAAATTAAGTTAATTTTAAAAGTGTTCACACTGCCCCAATTTAAGAAAATCATATGTTTTTTGTTTACAAATCGAATGTTAAAAGTTACATGCTCCAAGCACCATTTATATCTGGGAAATTTTAAAAGTTGATTATTATAATTACAAAGTATAACATTCAGTAGTTTTATTAGCTTTAGTGGATTTCGGGTATGGGAATTATTTTTTTCGTTTTATTTTAAATTAAATTCAAAAATTTACATTGCTTTCAAAATATTTTCCCGGTTTTATTTTAGTCAACTGTCACGGACATTTATTTTGAAAAAAATGTAACTTTTGAAATTTCCCTTAATTTCAGGCTTCGTTTAAATGAAAATAAGGACATTTTCCCTAATTTTGTTCTAACCTTAAAATTAAATTTTATATGGAAAAAACTTCTTAATTTCGCTGAAACAAAGATGAAACTAAGATATTCACGAAATTTAGGGTCATTTTAACATAGTATAAGAGGTGTCTGAACATAGTATTAGATTCTTAAATACTTATATATTTGTACTTATACAATTACCTTCTTTGTACAATCACAACCGATAAATATAATATAATATTTAATATACTGAAAATATAACACACACTTATTATTTTCTTATTTTCATTGCCATAAACAAAATATATATGTATGTAAATAAACTACCTTATATAATTTTCTTTCAAAAGTAATTATGAATGAATTAGTAATTATAATTATGAACATCTGTAATTATATAATTATTTATGTTTTTAATAAACAAAAGTAAGCATAAACCATTTAAACTATTACTTTCATTATAGTACAAATTAAGTCAGCAATTAAACCTAACAGATATACTTGCCATTCATGAGTTTGAGTAGTGATGGGCGCATTCAGAACGTAATACTCATTCGCACAAATGGGCCATTACTCGTAAATTGATATCTCATATCCTTTGGCAAATGGCTTTAATACTTACGAGTGTCTCTCCTTCTCTGTGCTAAGTAATTTTCATTAGTATGATGCATGTGTGTGTAAGTGTGTGTGTGAGTGGGCTCATGTGCACTGATTACGTTGTGCGCTTTTGTGCGCTCGACATTGAAAATGACAAAAGTGTCAAAATTATAAACACTATAAGCAGAGGACATCATAATTATCCTTTTAGCAACGTTTCATTGTTGGGCATTTAAGTGAAAAATGAAATGAGACAGTTTGATGACAAACAAACGACGTGTTTTTTGCACAGGCCTTTATAAAATTTATTACACCATCAATTTACAAGAAAAAGAGTAATTTTACAACCATTTACAATCTCCTATTTCATACTTACCAGTATAGCAAGGATACGTCGACAAAATATGTGTGAAAGTGATGCTAAAGTTTCGTTTACCTATTGCATATATTGTATGGAAAGTGTGTTAGAGAGAATTTATATTTTTCCATAATTTTAATATCTGAAATAAAATATTAAATAAATAGCATGATTTCCACTATCGAATATTTCGAGGCAGTATATTCTATCTTGCTTATAGTATGTTTACACCTTAGCTCATCTTAGTGAAGTTGTTTGCAATTTTTAATTATGATAAGTTTAAGTGTTTACACTTTAACTTCCAGAGTTTAGTGAATAGCAAACTGCACAAATTGAACAAAAATAAATTTTATTTATTCGAAACTGAATTTTAAATATAAATCGTTACCATAAATTTTCTTCGTTAGAGGTTAAATTTTTAAAATTAATAAGAAAATAAAATAATAAAGTTTTCCTTTATTTTTTATTTATATTTATTAAATAAAATCATTCAATTCAGTTAAAAAATTATAAATTCATTTCCTACTATATTTATTTTCAAAATTCTTTCTGTTTTTATTTAAAATATATTTTGATTTTTGAGTCTATTTTTCTTGATATTTTAATCAAAGCTTGCACCCAGAATTGTTGTACTACAATTTTTCCAGACAGTCTTTAACGAGGCAATTGAAAAAAAATTAACAAGCCCTTATTTCGTACATAAATGGACTATGTGTGCCACGCTTCTCGAGGTAAAACTAATAACGGAGCTTACTATCATAGTATAATACTATGTTCAGACAGCTTCTAACCTCAAAACTGAATTTTGTATGGAAAAAGCAAATTAATTTCACTAAAACGAAGATGAAATTAAGATTTTTGCAAAATTAAGGTTGGCTGAACATAATATAAGGATTGTTCCACGAGCTACTAGTAGTAAAGCTCAAGTAAACACAAGTAAAATTTAAACAAAAATACACGAAAATTTGCTGTTGAAACGCAATTGTGTATACACAGTGATACTCAAAGTTACTACGAGTAGCTTGTGGAACAGACCTATAATCTTACTACAAATTCTAGAATTTTTATATAGCATTCGTGAGTGTAAATAAATGCAATTATCGCATTATTAAATAATTAATATGATTATTTTATATATTATATATATTATAAAATTATAAATTATTATTATAATATTCTTACTAATATATTAAGTAATGTTGCATATAATTATAGCTTTAGAAATATTAATAAAAATATATAATGAAATTAATATATTGCAAATATTTCCGAACGCTTTTAATTTGATATGAAAGGTGTATATCAAAATAGATATTCTCTGGTGTATATATAAATCACTGCAACTAACTTCAATTAGGATGATTTTTCGGGTTGCGTCTTTTGTCTGCATATCGCTTTCCAGTGCTACGGAAAAAATTATTTACAAAAATTGGTAAAAATCGTAAAATTTATAAACAAAATGGCGCGTTACTTACATATAAATCGCTTTGAATATGATTTCATAGTTTTGTTGACTATTAATCTTAAAAAGTAAATATATATAGATAAAAGATAATGATCTCAGTAAGTAGTAATTTTTGATAAATATTAAATATTTTTCAGAAGTAAAAAACTAAAAATGCCGGCGGATGCAATACTTTTCAAGGCCGGTAAGTGCAAGAAACTGATCCCTATTAATGCCGATTGGTTTTATTTGCGATGTGCATCAATATTGCGTCGCATGTACAAACGCGGTCCGATTGGTATTGGTAAACTTCGTGAAATGTATGGTGGACGCCGTCGTAGAGCTTTTCGTCCCCGCTACTACTCTATCGTAGCTGATGGTCTTTTAATCATAGTTCTAAAAGCTTTGAGCCAAGCGAAAATGATTAAATTTGTTCCAGGTGGTCGCACATTGACTTATCGTGCACAACGTAAAATTTATCGTCTTGCTCAGATAATTGCTCATGTCGATAGAGAAATTTTGGCAATTAAGCAAAAACAATTATTAGCACAGCAAAGAAATATGTAATAAAATTAACTATAAATAAAGAGTATTGAGAACATGATGAATATAAATTTAATTTTTATTTAATTAGAAACTTAATACGAATGTAGATAAAAAATCTTCGTGTGTAGATAAAAAATATGGTGAAGATTGGGATAAACCTTAAATCCATAAAAACCGAGTAATCTTTTTTTTCAATATTGAAGAATGTTCGTTCGTATTACATCGGCCAAACATCGGCATCGCAAAAACCAATTGAGAAAAATCTACTGAGAAGTATTATGTTTATAAGAGAAAATAAAAAAAATTAATGTCCAGAGTTGCCATAGCAACAGTTTTAAGTAATACAAAAGATCATATATTACAAAGTAGAAATGACAATTACAATTCAATTTTGTAGGTATTTACTAAAAATCGTTCACAGTAGACGAATTTTGGCGATTTGAGTGGCTTATTAGTTCAGCGGTTGGACTAAATAAGCCAGCAGTGTTGTTGTTTCATATGTTATTTTTAACATAAGTGGTTGTTCTTTTGTAATATGTATGCTTACAAAAGAAATGGCCTAATATTGCCAATTTTTAAAATGTTGGGGTATTTTTTTTTGGTTGTGACTAAATTTAAAAGGAAATCTTGATATGCTCACTTTCAATTCGCCATCAAAAATAACCAGAAAGAAAAAACTTATAGAAGCTGTAAAAAAATCTTAACTTATTATTATATTATCTTATAATAATTGTTAAGAGTACTTAAAAAATTATGCGTCTTTCCTTAAACCGGAAAGTGTGAGAATTAAATTATTTACGGTTTATAAATAGGCTTCTTGGCACTTTTTCTTCAAAACGTACTGAATTTGAAATAATTTGCTTCTAAAAAATCCAAATTCTGGCATTTATGACTGAACGACACTGCTTTGCCTAAGTGACGAGACACAGATGGCCCGGCTCTAATGCTAAAGTTTGAACCGACACATTGGTTTTTCTCTCACTCTCAATTTTTGAATTTGAATTAAAAACAACAACAATTTTGCTCATGCCGTGCCCGTGACACTCTACATAATATTTAGACAACAAATATATTTAAGCCCAATTTTTGAATAAGTAAGAGAGGATTTTCTTGCTTGGTAGTGAGTAATGACTAAGAGTAAACTCTATGCAAGAGGTTGTTGTAACCACGATTAGAGAGCAGAACTACTTCGAAAACCGGATGATGTCGTTTAAAGGGCCAGGAATTATGGGTCTTCTACTTCATATTATTATTAAGTAGGTCGTTCGGCAATATTTTATTTTTTTTTTAAATAAATAAAATATTTAAAAATACTGCGCTTTATTTCACTTACCTTAAGTAACTTTTAGTTAATTATTTTATAAAATCATTTATATGCAAATATTTATAATTTTTAAAATAAAACTTTTATCTGAAAGGAAATTATAAATTTAAGATATTTTTTGAAAACATGTTTCTTAAATTAAATTAAGTGAATATGCAGCGATGAAAGTGCCAACGCTTCATCAAACTCCACTGAAATACACACAAGCCAAAAACAAAAAAAAAAAAACATTTTGATGAAAATATATAAAACAATACGTTTCTTAAAATTTAAAAGCATTTTTATAAAATGTTTTTATTCCATGGTTGGAGGAACTTTTTTATCATTTTAAAAGGTATTCGGTTGACTGCGAAAACGCAGTATTTAAAGAGTGTCAAGCAGCCTGAAAGTGCGCTACATTTAACTGCGAAAACATTTCATCACGCGACTGCATTAATGTGCGGAAGCGTTGGGCTGGGATGTCGAAGAGTAAATGCACCAGTGCGTGTTTGATATACGCGACACAGAAAATTGAGTGAATGCATTTTCAACCTCTGCTTTAAAAGGTTAAATTAAATCAACAAAATTAAAGGATTCAATGAAATTTTTATAAAAAATAATATGAAATCTGGAAAGTGAAGAAGTGATGATTGTGAATATGACGAACGTTCTTTTCTGACATTAAAAATATTTATATTGGCATTTTTTAACAGAAATTTACAGGAACTTGTGAATATTTTTTTCAATACCTTATTTAATTTTTTTTTTGTCGCTGTTAAGTGGCACTTTATATTTTTAAACTTTTTTGGTGCTTTAGTTAGCAGTTCCACATTTCACTATATTAATGATATACATGAAAACTCTCACTTATTTGGTTATTTAATTAATAACATTTTTTTTTAAGAGTTTATTGATGCATAAGCTGGCACTTCAACTTTTGTTTATATATTTATATATATATTTGAATAAAACGGTTTTTTTGCTAATTAAGTTAAATTGAATTCATTGAAGCAATTGGAATGCATTGTGATAGCAAACGATCCTGGACAATTTTTAAATCATTTATTTTATTCATCAATATTTAATTCATATAATTTTTGTTCTATAATTATTACAAATTTGCTGTCATCAAATAAAATTATTATACTCACTTTTCTGTTATGAATTGTTTGGTAAATAAACTTATACGTGTTGTATTTATTTTTGCTTAAAATATAAGAGTTGGTAAATAAAATAAATATTAAGTTAATAAATAATGAATTAAAATTATAAAAATGTTAACTTGTTCATTATGTGCGATGTCCAGATCACTTAATGATCCAGATCACTTAAGCAATTTTTTTTCAGTTATTTTTATTTATTTACAAGTATACTAAAAATGTTCTTAAATTATTCCTAACCCTATACCATGTTCCAAGCTCCATGTTCTTAACTTAATCATATTATATTTGTACATCCTCTTCAATAACCTCATTATCATGTGCGATTTAATAATTCTTCAGGGTCCAGACTGCTTACACAATTTTTTTTTCAGTTATTTTCATGTTTTTCTAGTATACTAATAATATTCTTAAATGGTTCCTAACTCTATACCATGTTCCTTGCTCCATGCTCCATGTTCTTAACTTAATCATATTATATTTGTACACCCTCTTCAATAACCTCATTAACATGTGCGAATTAATAATTTTTCAGGGCCCTGACCACTCAAACTCATTTTCTTTCAGTCATTTTTATGTATTTACTAGTATTCTTATAATGTTCATAAATTGTTCTTAACTCTATACCATGTTCCTTATTCCATATTCTTAACTCAAACACACCCAATTTGAAAGTCGTCTTCTGTTTCCAATTTTGTTACTTTTGAGAAACTTTTACGATTTCTCTCGGTATTCATTCTCATTATATGCCTCATATTGCCACATATTTATAAGTATGTTCTTCTTAAGCTAGTCCTTATGTACTCCAAGACACTTTACTTTCAAATATAGGAAACCTATATGCGTTCCTTGACATTATTGCCGGTCAGGCAACTGAACTGCTGTTATATATACTTTCAAAACCTATATGCGTTCGTTGACATTATTGCCGGTCAGGCAACTAAACTGCTTTAAACTCTTAGCCTAGTCTTCCCATTAAGTATTTTGAAATATACTGGCATGCTCTAGAATTCGAATCCGCATAAAAAAATTCGATTTCAATTTAAATTCACATTTTGGTGCTCTGCTTTTTTCATTTCATATGCGATTTCACAAATGAAATCGAATGAATTTGCTTGCTCTAGAAACCGAATCCGCATAAAAACATGTGATTAAAACCACATATCGAAATAGTTGTGAATTTAAAAGTAGTGAAAATAACATGTAAGTATAATTACATTTTTTTGGAATTAAATCAGTTTCAAGTTATGTAAATAAAGAAAATAATAATTTTGATAATTTTTTTTTTTAATTTTAAGCTCCAATAAATAAAATAAAATATTTTAAGAATTTATTCATTTTTTTGTTTTAATAAAAATTTTCCTTAAATACTACTAACGCAAGCTATTAGCAATGTCATCTCTTATTGTATTTGCTTCTCTACTAGCCGATATTTCACTTAGTTCCTCTTCATCTTCATTAGCAAAGTGAACGTCTTCGACATCCTGTACCTTGTAGTATCTACAAATATTATGTAGCGCACAGCATACATTAATAATTTTGGAAACTTTTTCGGGCTGGTATTGAAGAAGTCGGGCTAGACACCTGAAGCGGCTTTTCGACACACCAATTGCTCGTTCAATAACATTGCGTGCAGATGCGTGTTTCACGTTAAATTTATGCTCCTGTGTTCCAGGCTGCGGATCTCTGTATGGCGTTAGCAAAAATGGCTGAAGGGAGTAGCCAGCATCTCCTAAAAGCCAACTTCCACGTTCACCGCTCTCATAGCACTGGCAGAAGTAGTCGTGTGCCTTGCTTACGCACCATATTAGTGAATCGTGGCTAGAACCAGCGCGCCTAGCATTCACTGCTCTAATCGTCATTTTGTAGTCGCAAATCTGTACATATTGAAAAGAAATTTCAAAAAGAACTTGAAAGTCCTTACTATCATGGCGTTAATGCTGAAATAGCCTTTCCTATTATAAAAAAGGTGGTGGTCACGATGAGGCTTTGTCATTCTTATATGTGTTCCGTCCACACAACCTACCACACCCGGAATCCCGAATTTTTGCATAAAGTGGCGCTTAGACGCACTCCGCTCAGCGTCCGACATTTCTAATTTTATCCATGATGGGCAGATGCGCCTTTCCAAAATTGCGATAACATTTGTCAAAATTTTTCCAACAGTGCTCCTACCCAAAGCTATTTGCTTGTCGATGCCTACCGCTTTTTGAAAGCCCCCTTCCGCTAAAAAACGCAATGTGCAGGCCAACTGAATAGAACTTGGTATGGATGATAACTTAACGTGGGGTGTTACGACTTTTACCAGCATGCAAAAAGCATCTTTGTTCACCCTGTAATAATTTATAAAGCTAAAAGTATTCGTTATTTTTCGTTGTTTCATCCAGTATGAATTAGCCACTTACGTCGACTCATTCAAATCTAACGGATTGCTGCAATCTCTTAAAATCCGTCTTTTTATTTTTTCATTTGTGTGACTATTATTTTCAGCTGCCACCAATGCTAACATTCCGAACATTTTATAAAAACTGTTTTTTTTTTATTTTACTTATTAAAATTTAAAAATTTCACTTAAGAGCATTG